GGGGGGGGGTCTCAGAGGTCTACCTTAGCAGGCCGTGGGGTCCTAGCAGGAGTCAGACATTCAGTGGCCCAGAGCCTAGAGAAGCTTACTATGCCTCCTCCCTCAAAGAAATTCAAAATAAAAACACTTTTCACCTGAAAATACAAAACATAACAGGGGCATGCAACTTTAAAATCTTCTTTCTAGAATTTCTGATTGCAAGATTCTGGGTAAGCTCATCAAAGCTGGGCTTTGCTTGGTTTCCGGTTTTGGTGCTCCAGCCTTCCTGGCACCCTGAGTACAATCATGTTTTTGCCTCCTGGGTAGATGGGTCCTGGCAGGCACAGTCCTTTACTCCTCTCTGTACTCCCAGTTCCTGGCCCACAGCCTAGTCCAGAGCGTGACCTGCTCAGCCCATGTTTCCAGAATGAAGAAAATCAGCCTGATCTGATTCTCAGGACCAAAAGGATGAGTGTGGACAGCTGGATTGAGTGCAGACCCCAAGGGCTTAGTGCCTCATGAGGCAGCTTGAAGAGAGGCAGCAGCCCAGGGCTGGACATTAGGTTACTAATTCCAAACCCAGATGAACCTCTGTCTTTGCTGTGTGACCTTGGCTAAAGCATCCCCCTCTCTGGACCTTAGTTTCCACATCTATAAAATGAGAATGTTGAATTGGCCCTTAATGAAGAACACTTCCAGTTCTAAGACCCTGTGGTGAATTTATATATGAGCTCTCTGTCACTAACTTATAAACAGAACTCCTTTATGCTGGCCAAGCACATTAATCAGGAGATTAATAATGAAGTCGGTCCCAGGGTGCCTAGGTGGCTCAGTCAGTTAAGCTTTCGACTCTGGGTTTCAGCTCAGGTCATGATCTCACAATTTATGTGTTCAAGTCCCACTCCTAAGCCTAACAGCATGAAGTTGCTTAGGATTCTCTCTCTCTTCCTCTCTCTCTGCCCCTCCCCCGTTTGTGCTCTATTTCTCTCTCAAAATAAACTTAAAAAAAATTTTTTTAATAAAAAAATTATGAAGTCTGTCCCTTTGTTGGAAGCATTGTTTAGAATTTGCTGCAACATACTTGCCTAATGATTCACAATGGCCCCTGATAGGAGTCATTTGCAGGGTTACCTCTTCAATCCCCAGCCCTCCCCTCTTCTCAGATTGGTGAAATCCTGCTAATAAACTCTCCACCCTGAACGAACTGCTCCCTCCTCCGGCTCTCATTCTATTTTTGCCATAACCATAGTAGAAGACTAAATCACAAAGAAAGTAAATAACCAGCAGGTGTGGGGCCACCACCACCCCCTAACTCTTCCCCTCACCCCCAACAATAGACATCCTCAGGGGCATCACAGTGCTGCTCAAAACCACTCCAGGCAGCACCACCAGCCAAAAGTGTGCCATCCTGGCTCCCCACATCTGATCACAGGTTTCCACTAGGGCTGTGGCATCAGGTTCCTTGAGTGAAAAACTATGTCTTAGGGGGACGCCTGGGTGGCTCAGTTGGTTAAGCGCCTGACTTCAGCTCAGGTCGTGATCTCACGGTTCGTGGGTTCGAGCCCCGTGTCAGGCTCTGTGCTGACAGTGTGAAGCCTGGAGCCTGCTTCTGATTCTGTGTCTCCCTCTCTCTCTGCCCCTCCCCTGCTCGCTCGCGCTCTCTCTCAAAAATAAATATAAAAAAATTAAGAAAAAGAAAAGAAACTATGACTCTTGGATATCTGTGCTTCTCACCAGCAGCACAGGGAGGACCCATAGCATGTGCTCAAGAAATGGCTGCCGGGTGAACATCAGACACTCTCTGATCCTTAAGCTGCCTGCCCCTCCAGCACACTGGAGTCAGAAGTAGGTGCAGGTAAGGGACGCCTAGGTGGCTCAGTCAGTTAAGCATCCAACTCTTGATTTCAGCTCAGGTCATGATCTCATGGCTCATGGGTTCAAGCCCCGTGTCAACAGTGCGGGGCCTGCTTGGGATTGTCTCTCTCCCTCTCTCTCTGCCCCTCCCCAGCTTGCATGCATTCGCATGCGTGATCTCTTGCGCTCTCTCTCAAAATAAATAAATAAGCTTTTAAAAGAAGAAGAAGAAGAAGACGACGACAAAGAAGGCAGCACAGGTAAGCTGCCAGTGCCACACTGGTCACCTCCCTCCCCTGGGACCCAGTTACAGTACCTTATCTTTCACACTGTGCTCGCAGCCAGAGCCCACAAGGAAGTCCAGAGCGTCCAGCTGCCCATGCTCAGCAGCCCTGTGAAACGCTGTCCTTCCCAGCTGACGGGGGAGGGGAAGAAAGTGGCCCTTCTTCACCCTGCAGTGGGCACACCCACCCTGCCCACCTAGCCAACTACTCTGGGCTTGCGGAGGGCCTCTCCTGACCCAGAAGCTCTCCCCTCCCCTTACCCTACATGCTTTCCCTGGAAAGCCCAGACTGAACTCTCCAACAAGATCCCACTGGGTGGGGTTCCTCCCCCACTGAAATCCTTCTGTGGCTTCCTGCTGCATACTGAATAAAGGACAGATTTCTGAGGCTTGAAGTCAGTGGAGATTTCCATGCAGGGCTCCCAACAAGCCCCCTGGCTCTCACTCCCCAAATCACAAACCATCCAAACTCACACACAAAGGGCCCTTTTCTACCTCTAAAGCTTTAGCAATGCTCTCCTCTCTATTTATAAAACCTCCCCGCTTTCCAATCTTACCAACAAAACCCAGTTCATTAACCCAGTTCATTCACCAAATGCCACCTCTTCCAGGAAGCAGAAAGCAGTGGCTCCTGTCTCTAACCTACCTAGTTAGTCCTTATCAGAACCTCTCTGAGGGAACTGATCATGTTCCTCCTTTATCTGACTCATTTGTGCCCTAATGCCCCTTCTAGGCCTGCAGTTCCCTGAGGGAGGGTCCAGTCTGCACTACCCTCATAGCTCAAAGGATGCACTTAAGGAATGGGCAGGAGTGGCCCCAGGAGCCCCAAGCCCAACGGGAAGGACAAACAGCCTTGAGGCCACTCTTACCTTGTCAGCTTGGTCCAGGGGCACATCCTCCAGGTCTTCCATTATGAATGCGAGCACTGGCACGTGGCCTTTTTGGGCTGCACAGTGTAGTAATGTCAGGCCGTCCTGGAAACAAGCCCAGGGTGGTCCCTACAGTCTACCAAGGAGGACCCTTCTCACCCACTGGCTGTCTCCCAAATGGTGAATGTTTGCAACCTAGAACACAGCTTTACCATGGAAACAACACAGTATATAAATGGGGAAAACCACAAGTGCCCACTCAGCCTCACAGAGCCTGGTAGGAATCGGGACGCCAGAGTTCAAATCCCAGCTCCAGCATTTATCAGCAATGCAGTCTGGTCTTAACCAAGTTATCTGTACCTCTATAAGCCTCCATTTTCTTATAGGTCAAATCAGGATAATAACCCCTGACTACCTCAGTGGGTGGCTGAGGGGGTTGGACAGCATCCTCTACAGCAAGTTTTGTTATACGCTGAAAAATAATTCGGGATGTAAGGTGAGGTTGTATAGCACTAATAGTCCTCAGAATACTACCCACCACAGGACATTGTTATAAGGTTCTAGCATCTGCTTACCTTGACACGGCCCCAAAAGAAGAAGGTGACTAAGTCCCCAGTGTCTGTCTCTAGGTGATAACCTCCTAACCTTCTGGGGAGGAGTGAGAGCTGATGGGGTCTGCAAGGACTAGGAGGTGTTAAAAAGGAGAAAACAGACCCAAAATGGAGTCACCTGTGCTAAGGCCCACCCATCACCAAATCAAGACTTTAATACCTAAGCTAACTGCAGCTTCAGCCTCTCCCAGATAAGTCATCTTAGCCAGTCAGTCTGGATCTTCCTGGTCAACAATAGGGAGGAAATCCACCTGACAGGGGCACCTGAATGGCTTAGTTGGTTAAGGGTCTAATGGTTCATGAGTTGGAGCCCTGCATTGGGCTCTGCACTGACAGTGCAGAGCCTGCCTGGGATTTTCCCTCTCTCTCTCTCTCTCTCTTTCTCCCTCTCTCTCTCTGTCACTCCCCCATTCTCCAAATAAATAAATAAACTTAAAAAAAACAAACAACCACCTGATAGACCACCCCCACTGTCCCCTGAAGGAAGGTGATCTTTCCTAAAACAATCCAGTCTTTGCTGGAATAACTTCTTTGCCCCACTTTCTTTTGCCTATAAAAGTCTTTCATTTTATACAGCTCCCTGGAGCTCCTTTCTATTTGCTAGATGGGATGCTGCCCAATTCATGAATCATTGAATAAAGCCAATTAGATCTTTAAATTTACTCACTTGAATTTTGTTCTTTAACAGACAGAAGTGGCCAGGGTGGGAAAAGGGGTCGGCAGAAAGATGGTCTCTTGGCTCCAGAAGCAATATTTTAGTGAGGGAGGTTTGCAAATCCTGTTTATAGCCCAGAGCTTCTACCAAGGCATTGCATTATAGCTAGATTGTTTAGAGCACTGTTTTTCAAATGGATTGCAACCATCGATAGATCATAAAAATCAACAGAATGATGTTGTACATCTTGACAGTAATTTGGATTACGCTGAAGTAAAATTTGTCAAATCCCAGTGAATATAAACTTAAGACTTGTATATTTCATTTTAAGCAAAGAAATTGAATTCTAGTGAATGTTATGCATACGGAGTATTTAGAGGGAAGTATAGTGATGTCTATAATTTATCTTGAAACACTTCCAAAATTTATAAAGAACTCTAAAAACTCATCGATGAGATATTAAACAACCCAATTAAAAAGTCATTTGGACACAAAGAAGATATAAAGGTGGCAAAGAAGCATATGAAAAGATATCTAACATCATTAGTCATTATTGAAATGTAAATTAAAACCACAAAGCATTTCTGACAATAGAGTTTGGGAAGGGAAAAATGCTAACACTCCAATGGAGAAACCTGGGCGACACCACTTAACCACGTGATCAAGCGTGAAATTATGGTTTATAATAAGAAATATATATTTGGGCTTGATCCTGTTTCTGGCACATAGGTCCTAAAACCTTTGGAATTTTCTAAGTGTACAGGGCGGTTAAGACGTCTACTGTTAACGTTAATTTGGTTACAAGGGAAGCCCCAAGGTAACTGAAGACGTGGTGGGGGGAGGGGGATGGGGGACTGGTTGCCTGGGGAACCAACTAGACCAGAGGGTTGGAACTTTCAGCCCCACCCCCTGACCTCCAGGGAGGGGAGAGAGGCTGGAGGTTGAGTCAATCACCAATGGTCAAGAATTTAATCTATCCTGTCTATGAAACGAAGCCGCCATAAAAACGGGAAAGGACCGGGTTCGGAGAACTTCCAGGTTGGTGAACTCAAGAACACAGCCATATGCCGGGTCCCATGATCCACAAGGACAGAAATTCCTTTGTTCAGGACCTCACCCTATGTATCTCTTCATCTGGCTATTGATTTGTATCCTTTAATATCCTTTGTAATAAATTTATGATCTAGTGAGTAAACTAGTTTCCTGAGTTCTGTGAGCTGCTCTAGCAAATTAATCAAAACTAAGGAGGGGGTGGTAGGAAACTCTGATTTATAGCTAATTGGTCAGAAGCCCAGGTAACAGCCTGGACTTGGGATTGGCTTCTGAAATGGGGGTGGTCTTGGAGGTCTAAACCCTTAACCAGTGGAATCTGACACTATCTTTAGGCAGATAGTATTGGAATTGAGTTAAATTTGTGGGAAACCCAGTCAGTGTCCATGGAGAATTGACTTAATTGCTTGGTGGTGTGGAAAAAAGCACACACATTGGAGTTGGTATCAGAACTGGATCAAGGTAACATCACCAGTGACGGGCCATGTTGGTACTGATAAAGTTAATTCTTATATTGAGACCTACAAAATGAAGGCTGCCCCAGTGACCTGGCCCAGGTCACAAATCTAAATCTACCTCAGCCTGCACTTACAGGAAACCTAACGTAGAACAATGACAATCTAACATACACTCAGCTGTACTAGCTCCCCTGACCCTAGAAAACAGGACCCACTAGCCTTACAAAGAAATCCCCCTAGCAGCCAATCCTGCCATTTCTGTGTTGCTGCTTTGGGGGCTCTATAAAATTCGCTCTTACCCAAAATCTCTCCAGAAGAGTGTTCAACTGTTGTGAAGGGCTGTACTCCCCCAACCCAGGGACTGTTTTCTTTCGAATAAAGGACATTAAACTTGCTACAAAGCTGCCTTTTGGGGGCACCTGGCTGGCTCAGTTGATCTTTAGGTTGGGAGTTCGAGTCCCACACTACCAAGGCCTTGCATTGGACACTCAGGAGTGCCTGGGTGGCTCAATGGCAGAGAGTTTATTTAAATAAATTATTTTTGTTTTGTCACTGGACAGTATCATATATCCCCTGACAGGAGGCAATGAAGGACACTTAACCTCTGTGGTTTTCTACTCCAAATTCCATGACCCCATTCTAATCATGAGAAAAACATCAGACAAACCCAAATTAAAGGACATTGTGCACAATACCTGACCAGTGCTATTCAAAAGTGTCAAGGTCGTGAAAAACAAGGAAAGACTGAGAAATTGTCATAAAATTGGAGGAGAGTAAGGAGACAAGATGATTAAATACTTTGTAGGACATTAACAGAAAAACTGCTGAAATGTTAATACAGCCTATAGTTTGGTAAAACTCTAGATATCACCAGTGCCTGGCAAAGTAGAGCCAGGTAAACAGTGGGGGGAAAGAAAACTCCAGGGCCAAACAGAGTGTGGTGCAGTCATGGCCTGGCTCAAGGTTCCTCTACAGGTGAGATAAATACCTCCAGGGAGGTCCTCGAACAAGGAATAGAAAAGTAGTGGGTGGGACTGCTTGCAAAGATGGACACAACTATTCCTCACACCTCTGGAAACACCCAAAGCAATGGGATTGTGTACTCTTCTCATTAAGGGGGAGAATCCAATATTCTCTATCCCCTGAATCCAGGCAGGCCCTGCAAGGGGCTTCAAGCAATAAAATATAGTCGAAGTGGTATCGTGTGACTTCCCAGCCTTGGCTTCAAAAGACCATGCCACTTCCACTCTTGCATTCGCTCATCATTGCAACTAATACTAAACCTTTAAATAGAAGTTTCTAAAAATAAAAATGTCCCTTTTTTCCCCACCCTGAGTTCTAAAGGATCTCCAGATTGAGAACCCCTGGCTGACAGCGTTTGGTCCAGAAATGTTTGCATTTTCATAAGGGCCAATGACCCCCTAAAAGGTGAGACACCAGTGCAGAGATCCCCAGCAGAGATCTGACTTGCTGGGGACCCTCCTCCCTCATACCACAGAGCACACCAATGAGCCGGGAGAGACTGCCAGGTTCCCTAATGTGCCAGGCACTGAGCCAGGTACTTTACACAGAGTACTGAGTTTCTCCCTCAGCTCAGAGGTGGGTACTAGCATCCCCATTTCCCCAGTGTGAAAACTGAGGCTCAGGATGCTAAAGTAATTTGCCCAAGGTCCCAGCGTTTGGTAACCAGAACTTTCCTCCTTCCACCCAAGGGAGACAGGGCCCAGAAGAAGAGGGGAGGAGGCCCCGACCTCTCTCATTAAATCTTCCTAACCACCCTCTGAGGGTACTACTTTGACTCCTCCTGTGTGAATAAGGAGGCTGCCCAGAGGGCTAGGGACTATTCCAACATGGCAGAGTGGTAAAGGGTCGGGGGCATTAGAAGAAAGAGGCTTTTAATGCTGATGGAAGAACCACCCCAGCAACTTCTCCCAGCCCCAGTGGAAACACTGAGCGTCCCAACTTCACGGGGCTGAGCTCAGCTGCGACTTCCAGAGGGTTCTCAGAAGGCAGGGGCAAGCTGGGGCAGCAGAGTCACCTGGGGAGTAGGAGGGAGCAGAGGTGGGGGCAGACCCATGCTGCAGGGGCAGGGCACAGAGGCGGCAGAGACTCCGGGAGCAAGGGGTCTGCCATCCGAGGCCTTACCTTGTTCTTGCAGTGGATCTTGGCCCCAGAGTTGACCAAGATCTGCAGGATCTGTAAGTGGCCGAACCAGGCAGACAGGAGAAGCGAGTTCATCCCAAACTGGGGGAGAGGACACAGGGAGGTGAGAAGAATGTAAGCAGGTATGGCTGTGCCACCTGGGCCCATGTCTGCACTGAAAATCATACAACCATAGGGACCATAAGTGCCACCCAGGCTGGGGAGCACCAAGATTTAGGAATATAAAAACCACGGCATTTTTTAAAAATAGGGGCTGAGACAAAATATAGAAATAGGACTTTTTAGTAAAGCCCAAAATAGGGGCTGATTATTGCAAACTTTTGTTTTTGCTAAATAAAATTTAAAAAGAAAACAGCTACCATCTATTCTCCCCATCATGTAATAAACAAGGAACATTTTAGGGATGCCTGGGTGGCTCAGTCGGGTGAGCGTCCAACTTCAGGTCGGGTCATGATCTCACAGTTCATGAGTTCAAGCCCCACACTGTCTGTGCTGTCAGCACAGAACCTGGTTTGGATCCTCTGTCCTCCTCTCTGTCTGCCCCTCATCCCCCCCTCAAAAATGAATAAACATTAAAAAAGTTCTTTAAAAAAAAAAAGCAGGAACATTTTAATACAAAAAGTTGGGGAGAAACTAATTAGAGAAGATGCTCTTTCCAAATACAGCTTCATGAAAAACACACTACATTGTTCTTATTTTCTGATTTGCTGTGACTGGTAAAGACCTCACCCTGGACTGGTGTTTGAGAACCAACTGTTTGAATCTCCTACAGGACGTCCTCCAGGCAGATGGCTTAAGCCAGCAGATGCCTTGCCACCTTACAAAGACATCCACTGCACTGAAAAACACCACTCACTGTTGGAAAGCCCCTCTTTCCGCTGTACTAAAATCTGAATCCCTGGTGCCTTCCACCCCACATGCCCTTTGGAACAACTGAGAATATGTCTGGGCCCTTTTTTGATGGCGGCTCACCACCTGTTTGCAGGAGCTCTTCCCCAGCATCTGTGAAGCACTCTGAGATCATCAGAGCCCCTTCCCTGACCTCTGCCCTCATGGGGTTATGCGGAAGACCCAGCACTGGGTAGAATATCAGTAATTGTGGGCTGGCTGGCTGAGGGAGAGAATGTATACTCATCCCCAGCCCTGGGCGGGTGGGGGCGGGAAGCCCACAGGAACCTGGGAATGAAAAGGATCAAGGCTCAGGGCTGGGAGAGGAGAGTCATGAGAGCCAGAGCCTCCTGTCAGTGGGAACCCCAGGGATACTTCTGCATCCTAGTTCCAAGAACTGTCCAGGACAGAGCCCTATGGCATATCCCTAGAGACCTTCCCCCCAACAGCAGGATTTCCCTCTCTTTTCTCCCTCACCCTTCTGTTACTAAAGTAGGCATATTCATCACCTTTCTTAATTTTCAAAATACATTTATTACTATTTGCAAAGAAAATAGAGAAGAGTTATAAAAGCACTCTCTCTTAACTATTCTTCCTCATACCTTCTTTTCTCACTCATTCCCTCAAGGAAGAAATAAGAAATAACAGAGCACAGTGGTAACAGTGGAGGGGTCTTTGGGGGCAAAGGCCTATCGCATGACATTCCAGTATTTTATTGGGAAACTCAGACTAAGGATCCTAGATATTCTCCTTTTAAGAGATTTATTTTTAATTTATTTTTGAGAGACAGAGAGAGATATAATGTGAGTGGGGGCGTGGGGGGGTGGGGGGACAGAGAGAGAGGGAGACACAGCATCAGAAGCAGGCTCCAGGCTCCGAGCTGTTAGCACAGAGCCTGACGCGGGGCTTCAACCCACCAACCGTGAGATTGTGACCTGAACCGAAGTCAGACCCTTAACCAACTGAGCCACCCAGCGCCCTGATACTCTCCTTTTAGCAACAGCTCTAAACGAGGAGATGGGGCAGGAGTGGGGAAGAAGATGTTGCTGCCACACCCCCTAGCCCCAGTTTGTAATTAAGCTCCCCCTTATGCTGGGGCCTGGGAGCAAAGAGAATCCAGGGCAAAGAAAAGTATTTCTGTTAAAGGTAAATCTCTGCAGGGGAGTTTATAATGCCTTAAAATTTATTTATTTATCTACTTATTTTATTTAATTTTTTAACATTTATTTATTATTGAGAGACAGAGAGAGACAGAGCATGAGCATGGGAGGGGCAGAGAGAAGAGGAGACACAGAATCCGAAGCAGGCTCCAGGCTCTGAGCTGTCAGCACAGAGCCCGACGCAGGGCTCGAAATCATGAACTGTGAGATCATGACCCGAGCTGAAGTTGGATGCTTAACTGACTGAGCCACCCAGGCACCCCATTATTTAATTATTTTGTGAGAGACAAGGAGAATGCAAGCAGAGCAGGAGCAAAGAGAGAGGGAGAGAATTCCAAGCAGGCTCTACACTGTCAGCACGGAGCCCAACACTGGGCTCAAACTTACAAACTGTGAGATCATGACCTGAGCCAAAATCAAGAGTCAGATGCTTAGACTGAGCCACCCAGGTGTTCCTTTTTTTTTTTAATTTTAGAGTGAGAGAGAGAGTGAACTGGGGAGAGGGGCAGAGGGAGAGAAAGAGAGAATCTTAAGCAGGCTCCACACTCAGCATGGAGCCTGACATGGGGTTTGATCCCACAGTGCTGGGATTATGACCTGAGCCGAAATCAAGAGTTGAGCACTCAGGAGTGCCTGGGTGACTCAGTTGGTTGAGCATCTACTTTGACTCAGGTCATGATCTCACCGTTCTTGAGTTCAAGCCCTGCATCCAGCTCTGTGCTGACAGCTCAGAGCCTGGAGCCTGCTTCAGATTCTGTGTCTCCCTCTCTCTCTGGCCCTCCCCTGCTCACACTCTCTCTCTCTCAAAAATAAATAAACATTTAAAAAAATTAAAAATAATAATACATTAGGAGTTGGACATTCAATCCCCTGAGCTACCCACGTGCCCCTAAGCTTAGATTCTTAAGTGTATCCCTGTCAAATGTCATTGTCAGACCCAGCCCTTTCCTCAAACCTAGACCCTGTTATTCTTTAGGGCTCTCTCTCGGCAATGTGTCACCTGCCAATTTGTTAGTAAGACTGTTAGTCTTCATTCCAGTCTCTGGTTAAAGTGTTAAAGAGCAGAGTCCCGTGGCATATCATGAGAGACCTACCTCCTGAGTATTTTACTAAAAAGTCCTTTATCAATGCACCCAATTATTTGTTCTACAGCCCGTATCTCTCCCTGTTCACATGGTATCATGTGGGACTGAAAGGCTGAGAACTAAAAAGCTCTTGAAAATGGAGAGGTCCTTATGGCTGTACAGGGGAAAACTGGGATCATTGCAGTGTCACTGGCCCTTGAAGACTGAGGGAAGAGGGGTGAGGGGAGAGGCAGAGAGGCAGAGAATATGATCTCAGGATCATTTGGAAATATTAACCCGAATGAGGGGTCCCCTACCGCATCCTCATCGTCCACAGCAACCTCATGCTCCAGGAGCAGCCGCACAGCTTGCTCATGCCCTGCACCCGCAGCCCAGTGCAGGGCTACCCTGCCCACCTGCCAGGAGGGAGAGAAGAGCTGTGAGGCACCAGCTGCCTGCCTGGCCCACCTCCCCACCCCCTCCCACTTCCTTAGCTGCAATTCAGCTGGTCTGCAGGGTGGAAGGGCCTTTGCTGGCTCTAGTGACAAGAGGGCAGGGCCCCAGCCCCACTCAGGCCCCTTTCTCCTCCTCCACATGACAGCAGCTGAAATGAACATAGTCAAACACAATGACTAGACCCATCCGTCTCTCACCTAAAACTGCACAGTTTCCCACTGCTCTTGGGACAAACTCCTAACCCTAGGCCCTGTGAGGCCCTGCCTGCCACGGCTTAGAAATGCCAAACTACTCCCCCACGGCCTGTCTTTGTTCCTGCTGCTCCCTCTGCTGGACAGCCACCAGTCGGAGGATTATTGTCCTAGTCCCTGAGGGCCCCTGACTACCTGGGTCAATCCCCTTCTTCCTTCAGAATGGGCTGAAGGGGCCTGGTCCCCCACCCCTTTGTCAGACTACCCTGGAAGTTCATCATGGTCTTTGGCCTCAGCACATGTGAGCAGGACTGGGGGAATCCTCCTTCCTCCAGCTCATGACCTGCAGTTTTTAGCTTATAAGGGAACAACAAAAGGAAATGCTAATTTTCTGTGTGGTCTTCCTTCCTCAAGGCTTCTGCCCACACTATCCCCTCTTCCTGTCTTCACTCAGGCTCCTGCAAAAATCCCTGGTTGCTACAGGTAGGGGGGCCCCCTCAGACCCTCCACATGCTCTCAACTTAATCACAGTGGGAAAGAACTGTTCATGAGACACATTGTTTAATATCTGTTCTCCCCACCCGGACTCCAAGAGGGCAGGGACTCCATCTGCACAAGTTCTGCTCTGTCCCCAGCACCTAGCACAGTGTCGGCACAGAGTAAGCCCTTCAGAAATACTGACGGATTGAATGAATAAACAAACAAGTAAATGAATGAATCTGGCATTAGCATCCTATCATCCTACAAGTCCATGCTTCCTTGCAAGTGTCTGCCCAGGAGCTGAGACTGAGGCTCCAATTATCAATGAAATGTGTGACCTGAGGTGACTTGTTGACTGTCTGTGCCTGCCTTGAGCTATAAATAGGACTAATCCTTCCTGCCCTCCTCACCTCTCAGGGGGTGAGTGAGGACCACCAGGAAACAGGTGGATGAGCACATCAGACATCCCTGGGAATTCCTTTTACTCTTACTGGGCCCCAGGCAGGCAGGCCCTGAAGACCCAGGTCATACCCTTGTCGTGTCACCCCAGACAGAGCAGCCTCTGCTGCATGCAGGAATCCTACATCCAACCCTTTCAGCCTCCACTGACCTCCCACCCAGGCTGACATCCCCCAAGACAAGCCTGGCAGCCAGAAGCCCCAAGGTAGGGAAAAGCTACCCTGAGTGGCACCCAGGACTATCCCCAGGGCTCCCCATCAGAAGGAATGGCTTTTCTCTGTCTCCTCCCCCAGCGGGACTATAGATCACCCCATTGGCAGCCTTCCCTGAGGTCTGATCAGTGGGCTAGGTGTGCCTCCCTGTCTGGTCTTTGAGCCCCCCCAGGACCTGCCTGGGCCCATAGTGGGCGCTCAGAGATCTAAATTAAATTGCTTCCTCACACATGCTCAGCCTGTCTCGGTCTGGCCTTTCATGGTCTTGAACCCCTGGATTTCTGACCATAGGCATCATTTCATCTTTCTCCCTCCAGTCCTCTGCCCCTATCTGCCTATCTGTCAGCCTCTGATTCCTGACCTTCAACCCCCCTGCCCTCCTGACTCTAACCTTTGTTCCTTGTGTGTGCCTTTCAGGTGGGGGATGGGGATTGAGCGCGTGAGTTCTCAAATTGCCCAAGCCTGGCTAGGAATCCCTGACTTCAGAGAGGCCTCAGAGACCTTAAGCCAAAGTGGACAATCTGAGCCTCCCCCAAGTAACATATGCAAATGCTCCTGCCTCCGGCTCCAGGAACTGTTCCTCCTGCGTGGAGGTGTCATCATGCAGGCACTATTCCTATCCAGGCACCCTGATTTGGAAGAGCCCCTTTACGAACGTGGTTTCTGGCCCTGATGTTGACTTTCCTCTGGATCAGTTCCTTCATCCTTCCGATGTTGTTCCGACGGGCAGCTTCATGGAGCTGCCTTTCCAGAGGAAGCACTAGGGGCAGAAAAGGGGATATGGAATGAGGGGGAGAGCACACCACACTGCATACAGAGGAGAGGTGAACAGCTCCTCCCTGGCCCTGAACGTGTACCAGACAGGGGGTCTTCCAGGTGGAAATGGTGGCAGGGATGCCTCTCCCCCCTTTTAGGGGACGTCCCCAGACAAGCTGCTTTTCTTCACTAACTCAACCCATATCCACACAACCAGGACTCAGCAAAACCCTAAAGATGGGACAACATGGCAAGACCATCCACAGGAGCCAGGTGTGTGCCTGTCATGGCCCTCAGAGGTGCCCCATCATCCAGTTTTCACGACCCTAAGAGCAGCTCTTGAGGAAGGGAATGGAATTCATTCCCACTGGAGTTGATGACTACCTTCCTATGGCTTTGTCCAGTGAAGAAGGCAGCCAGGATTTACTGAGCCACCTACTTCATCAGGCACGGGCAAGGCCAGAGGCATATCACCCGGCTTCTCTGTCCTCGTCCCTCCATCTCATCTCTCTTCATCCCCAATCCTAACCAGCTGTTGCCTCCCAGCTGTGGGGCCCACCCTGATTTGCCTTCTCTCAGGGTTCCTCTTGCCTCAATGCTGCACCATCATCTCCGACTAGAGGGAGCCTCAGAGCTCCCCCTGCTGGTCTCCTGCCATTGGCAGCGGTGGTCTCTGCTGAGAGGGGTGGTGGCCAAGCCAGGAGGACCCAGGCCTGGTGATGTGGTCCAGGGCACCTCTCACCAGACCCCCACACTGCTGTCATCCTGACTGCTCTTGTCTTGTGAGGATGTCTGGTGTCCTTGGCTGGACTGCAAGCTCCTTGGGGCCCTGGCCACATCTGACCCTTGCTGATCCACCTACAGCTCACAGCAGGCCCAAAGCTGGGCATAAGGAAGAACCCATAAGATTCTGCTTCTATCAGTGACACAAAAATCCTCAGACTAATAGATACCTGTCCCTCCTCCAGAAAGGTTTAGATACACTAGCACAAGGTACAAATATTTGCTGGCCCTTTGCACAGTCATCACAGGGCAGGTAATCTGTGGTTTGATTGCCCCCAAACCCATATCATCCTACATGTTTGGTCCAATGTGAATGTCCAGATCTAGCCCATTGGTGTATCCAGGGACAGGTGGCCAGTGACTTGTCAGAGAAGGCTGGAAAGCACTGAGGTGACAGTCCTGCCATCAATTTGCTTTCCAGATATGGGAGAGGGCCTTGTACTTTCCTGGGCCTCATAGATACAACCTAAGGACCTTGGAGCTGCTGCCCTTGGGCGATCACATGGCCCTAAGTTCAGCTCTGAGTCACTTCCCGGCCATGTGACTTGAGTTACTTAATTATCCTGTGCCTCAGTTCCCTCATCTGCAAAATGGGGAATGTGTGCCACCCTGTAGGGTTATTGTAATGATTAGATATAAGATATGAAAAGCCCCTAGCATGGTATCTGGCAAATAGAGCCATCATCATCATCATCACTATTATTTCTCCGAGGCAAAGGGGTCAGAGAATAAATTCTGGTGGCCAAAGACATGGAAGTGGTAGGGCCTCCTTCACTCAGGGCTCTCTAAGCCTGTGAAATCCCAACCAAAGAAAGCACCTTTCCTACCTGCCCCCTGCATTATTTTTCTCTATAGCACCCCTCACCACAGACATATGCTATACTTACATATTGATGAGGTTTATTGTCTCCTTCCCCCATTATAAGCCCATGACAGGGGAGGTCTTATTTGTTAATTGCTGAATCCCCAAATTCAGGCCTTGGCACACATTTGTTGAATGAATGAGGGACATACAAATCATTAAAACTCTTCACAGGCATTGGAACCATAAGATGCTGTCCCAATTAAGACTCATTGGTCCCCTGGAAAATCAAACCACAAGCTCAAGTAAATGGAAGGAAAGAGGCTTTGAGGGAGAGGCAGCTTCAGGTCAATATTGCAGGGGAGGGGGAAAAACACCATCTTCCAAGTGTGGTCTCCACTGCTAGCTCCACCCTTTCCCACCCCCAAAGGGGACGCCTTTCTTAAAGGTGAGAAGAGGGCTCTTCTGGAAGAACCCTTCTCAGATCTCAAACACCTCCAAAAGCACTGGGTCCCGAGCTTTTGTTTCCTTAACCTCTTGGCTGAACAACACCATGATCCAAGTTCAGGAAAAAAAGCTGGCACTTTAGATGTGAGTTTAGAGAAGCTGGGGATCTAGTACCCAGTCTGCTACTTTCTAGCAGTTCCTAAGGCTAGCCATGTGACCCTCAGAGGCCTTGGTTTCTTTGGTTGTAAAACTGCAGAAGGGTGAAGAAAGGTATCTGTAGAGATCCCTTCCAGCTCTGACTCCCTTTCTCTTAGTGGAAGCCTACAGGTGGCCTTTTAGTGGCTTGTGTCAGCAAACAGCCAAGGGTCTGAATGGGAGCAAGCAGACCCTGCATGACCCCAGTGAAATCAACCCTAATCTCTTTACCATCCACCTCAACCCATGCATCCTCTTTCTGGCCACATCAAATATACACTGTACCCTGGCCTGGGAGACCTTCCCCATGATGCATAGTCTGCCCAGAATTCCCTCCCCCCCACACTAATGCTCCATTGCTGTACATTCTTTGAGGGTGGGTTCAAGAGATCCTCTGACCCAGGCAGAACCCTGCACCCTTTGAAACAGCACCTTGATAGAACCCCTTAACCCAGTGTGAGGACATTGGCACAATCTTTCTCTCTCCCCCTCCCAGGGTGTGCAGCCAAAGCCTCCCAGGCTGGCTGATGCCCACATGGATGCTGTCTGGCCCAGAGACACTGGCACTGAGCACACTCCTTGAGCAAGACTCTCAGGTGCCCTCATCCCACCTGCAGCACACCACAGCTCCCCTCCTGTGGGTTTCATTTTCCCCATCTGCTATGGTCTTCATTCCCCAACCAATCTCAACATTCTGGCAGAGCTAGGGCCTTCAGCATTTCTACCACTTAACGGCTGTGTGACCTTGGGTAACTTATTTAATCACCCTGGGCCTCAGCTTTCTCTTCTGCAAAATGGCGATAACAATATGTCTTACCCATAGGGCCTCTGTGAAGATCAAATAACATGCCTGTCCTGGCTCTTCCCGGCACACAAAGTAAGTACTCAATAAAGGATCGCATAACCATCTTATTTCTAGCTAATGTCTCCACCGCAGCAGCTCCCTGCTCTCGGGACCGCTGGCGCCGCCAAGTCCCAGACGCGCAGCCAATGCTCCCCCCACCCCGGTGTGCGTTCCTCTGGGCGCCACAAAGAAGCCCACGACCGAGGTGGCCACGAGGACAGCGCCAATCGCAGGCTTGGTCGCTCCCCGCGGGGGTTCGGGGATCCTCTGGGCTCTGCCCACGCCCGCCCCCGGGTCCCGCGGCGCGGCTGACTCACGGCCGTCGTTCTCCCACGCCGGGGGCTCCTCCATGCCGCCGCTCCGCAGCCCGGGCGCGCGCCTCTGCCCCACCGCCCGCCGCCCGCCGCCCGCCGCGCGTCCGCCTGGGCGCGGCGCCGCGAGCGGAGGGAAGGGGGCGCTGAGTTGGGGTCGAAGGGCATGGGTTCCCAGGAGCGCCAGGGTGCGCGCGAAAGCCGCTGCTCCAGACCCTTCGGTCCCTCCTGGCCCTGGAGCATGATGTGGGCGCAGCTGCACATCACCTACCCCCGTCCCCATCCCCGACCAGGCTGCAGGTGCCTCCTGGAGCTCCCTCGACATTCCATGCCGATGGCCCCGCGCCTTTCACATCCAAGTCTGGAGGGTCGGGGCCACTCTGGGCTCTGCAGGTCCCCGTGGATGGGGGGGGGGGGGGAGGGGGGGGATTGTCCCAGCCTCCAGGCCCTGGACATTCGTGCAAGGCCTCTGGCAGGCCCCATCCTCAAGACTCTGGAGCCTGCTCAGCTGCCCGGAGAAGCTAAAAGACTTCAAGGGCTTAGGCGGGCATTTAAGGAACAGACACCCCAGCAAGCCTGTAAGCATATGAAGAGATGGTCAGATTATTTATGATCAGAAAAATACAAGTTAAAATGACAATGAAATATAATTTTCAATTAGACTGGCAAAATTAGAAAGGTAGATGTTGGTAGGTAGGGGAATGAGGAGCTGTGACAGTCAGGTGGACTGCTGGTGGGAGTACCCTGGGGCAACCATTCTGGAAAAACAGTCTGGCAGTAATGAGAGAAACTAAACACAGCGAACTTTGGCCCTAAAATGCAGCTCTTTCTCTTACAGCCTCAGAAAAGGACATGTAAAAGGATGTTCTTTGCTGTGTTGTTGTTTTGTGGTTGCTGGGAGTTGGAGGTGACTTGAGGGTCAGCATTGAGGGAGTGCATGGGTAAAATGTGGTAGTATACAACCAGAGATATCAGTGTGAGGCCTCCGGATTGGGTGGGGGCTGGGGGCACAGACCATGAAAGAATTCACTCAAGGCAGAACAAAAGAGATAGAAGTTTCTTGGATACACTGCAAGGGAGCAGGGGGCAGGACAACAAAGGAGAGACTGCAACAAGGCGATGGGCGGGGAGGGTATAGTTATAGGGTGGAGTGAGGGAGTATGGGAATATATGGAATTTTCCCCTTTTTTGGTAACTGTGCCTGGTTGTATACAAGTAACCCATTGGTCATTTAGGGCTGTTTCGAGGTGGGTCACTTAATGAGCCTGTTTGTATTCAGCTTGGTGGTCACTGTGGGTCCTTTTGCCTTGCTCAAGTTTCCATTGCTCAAGTCTGTTACCTAAAAGCAACCTCTACAACCAGGTGTGTTCATAGCAACAGGGATTCAAACAAACATCCAGTGCTGAGCTGAAAAAGTAGAAGAACCCAATGAGACCCTTAACACAATACCAATAAATGCATGCACACAAGACAACACAGATTGAAAAGACACAAACAGAAAGATACACATTACCCATCAGAATGGGTGGCATATCAGACCCCTGAGGGACTGTCCATGTCTTCTCTTCTTTGCCTTTTTGGCTTTAAGGCATTTACAGCCCCTTTAGATTTAGGGTTAGTGAAGTCCCAGGCATCTCTACCCCAAGACAAAGAGCTGTTACTAGTTCTGGGATCAGAGAAGGAAGAATATATTTTAGTCGTTAGTGTAGTTCAGGAGGGCTTCCTGGAGGAGGAAGTATTGGGGATGGCTTTTGAAAAATAACATAATGAAAATAGCTAATAATTAATGAGCCTCAAGCTAAGCACGTTGTGTGGATTATCTCATTTTGTCTCCCAAACCACCCTATATGAAATGGGCATTACCATTTTATGGAAGAGAAACTGAAGCACAAGAGGGTAAATAACTCTCCCTACCTCACATGGGTAAATGCTGGAGCCAGGGTGGTCTGATTCAAGAGCCAGAGCAGGAGCATCTGGCAGGTGGAGAGGACTCTGATGGAGTCAAAGCACTGACAGCAGGCAGTCAGTCACTCTCTAAGCCCTGGCTTCCCAGATGGATGCAGAAGTGCCAGGGAGCAGTTGGCTGGCATGACTGTCCACCTGCCATCTATGATATCCACTGCCCTGGGCCAGCAGAAAGAAGTGGCTGCTGCTTTCTGCATCTCAAACAAGGATGCTCATATCTTGGGATACACGGTGGTGAACGAGGGCCACAGAAACCACGGTCAGGACTTCAATTTTACATCATGCCCGGGAAAGAATAGAAAAGTTGCATTTTTATTAAAACATAAAAATGGTTGGGGCGCCTGGGTGGCTCAGTTGGTTAAGTGTCCGACTTTGGCTCAGTTCATGATCTCACAGTTCATGAGTTTAAGCCCTGCATCCAGCTCTCTGCTATCAGTGCAGAGCCATCTTCCAGTCCTCTGTCCCTGTCTCTCTGCCCCTCCTCTACGTGTGTGTGTGCATGGGCGAGTGTGCTCTCTCTCTCTCTGTCTCTCAATAATAAATAAATATTTTTTAAAGTTTTAAATAACCAAGGTTATATGAGCAAGAGAGTAAGATGCAAAATCCAGTGGACCACTTTGGACAAGGGCCACAGAGTCTTGGGTGTTCACACTGCTCTATCTTTGGGAATATTTGGAGGGAGATATTTGGGGGAACCAAACCCTGGCTCTGTCTTTTTCCTGTCTCCCACCCATCCTCCCCCACGCACTCACTCACTCTGGTGACCCCCAGGTCATTCTCAAAGAAGACAGTACCCAGTTCCACACATACATGCTGCCTCCATCCCTTTAGCATTAGGGACTGTGGGGTCAGAGGACAAGAAGAGGTAAATCAGAGACCAGCACAGTTGACAGGGATAGGGAGAGAGCCTGAGAACACAGTTGCTGGAGCTTGGGGTAGGGCATGTGGGGTGGCTCCAGGACCCGTGTGAGTGTGTGTGACAGGGGGACATGATTGACCTAAACACTGACTAGAAATAATGAGGAAATATCAAAGTGAGGAAACACAGATGGAAAACCTGGTTTGACTGTGGAAAAATAATGTCAATTATAGTCATTTATGAGCTCTACATATCGTTTTAGCCTTTTTGTAGCTTAGTAATGACGCACATCATTTTAATGTTTTTCAATCCCCATGTAACTGAGGCACAGGGGTGCAAGAGCACGTGGCTCTGCGGGTCCCAGACAGACCAGGCCCGACCATGGCTGCAGACAAAATCCAAAGGCAGAGAGACGAGTGGTGGTGGAACAAGAAAGGAATTTATTTCAGTGAGGCCAACACCGGGAAGATAGCGGACTAGCATCTCCAAAGCGCTGAAAATACTTGCAAGATTGTATAAGGAAAATGTGGGACAAAGGTTGGTGGGTACGTGCAGGTGGGCAGTACAGGTCAGGTCCATCATTGTCCTGGGGTCAGTCACGCTGGCTTCGAGCAGTCCCTATTGCTTGAGGGGGTGGTTTGGGTTCACCGGATGCTTTGCCTGCAGGGTCTTTTTGCCTGAGTTAAGAGATAAACTGGAAAGAACTTAATCAACAAATCAATCAATCAAGAACAGATGGAGTCAAAGGGAGGTAGTTGAAGTCCTCTTTCTGGGGGAGGAAAAAAAACAATTAAACTTGCTAAAGTTCCTTCAGTAGAATGAAATTTTCTCTGCCCTGCCTCAGGAGCTTTGCACTTACCATTTCCTTTTACTTGGAACAATTCTTCCCCATTCCTTTTCCATGACTAGCTCTTTGTCATTTTTTGACTGGCCTAAGTGTCAATTTCCCAATGTTAGTTGTGCCACCACTACCCTCATTGTCCCTTTCATAGCAGCCTTTTCCTCCAGGACACAGCTACAATTTGTAATTCTGTGACTCACAAATAACACTGGGACGGGGCACCTGGGTGGCTCAGTCGATTAAGCATCTGACTTTGGCTCAGTCACGATCTCACAGTTCATGAGTCTGAGCCCTGCATTGGGCTCTGTGCTGACAGTTCAGAGCCTGGAGCCTGCTTCGGATTCTGTGTCTTTCTCTCTGCCCCACCACCCCGCGCGCGCACTCTCTCTCTCTCAAAAAAAACAAAAAAAACAACAACAAAAAAAACCCATATATATACACGTATACATATGTATAAATAAAGATTTAAAAAAGATAAAAAAAAAAAAAAAACAAGCTGGGTCTACCTATTCCTACTCAGAGTTCATTGCCCTGTCATTTCACGCATAAAAAGAAACACTCGTGTCTGGTCCAAAGCCTTGAAAAATAATGCAAGTCATTATTTTTAAAGTGGCAGGGAATTCAGGACAGTTCAGACTGTTAAAAAGAAAATCTCAGGTCCAAGATGGTGTCACTTATGCTAGGCCAAGTCACCAAACAGGAGCTTAATACCTAAGTGCAATTTTGACGTCCCCCCCCCCCCCCCTCACAAACATAGTCGTAACTGGTCAGCCAGGAATTTTCTGGTCAGCACCAATGAGGTAATCCGTCACAGGAGCCCTCTCCTTGCCTGGAACAATCCTTTCTTTTCTTTTGCTAATAATTTCTTGTCCCACCCTCCTTCCTATAAAAACCTTCCCTTTTGTAGCGCTCCTCAGGAGCTCCCCTCTATGTGCTAGATGAGCTGTGGTTTGATTCTTGAAGCGCTTAAGAAAGCCAATTAGATCTTAAACTTTACTCAGTTGATTTTTCATTTTTTTAACAAGACACAGCCAAACTTCCTGAAAGCCATACTTCAGTATCTCTTTCCCCAAAGGTCTACTGATTCCAGTGGGGCCCCCATTTCTCCCAAATCTCTGCTTCTCTTCTAATCAGATTCTCTGTTTGTAATGTCCAAATGTTCACTGCACAGCCTGATTTTTCATATAGAATAATTTTGTCTGCTCAGCTAGTCCTGCCACTGGGATCTCCCCCATCACCCCAACAGCCCTATGGGGTGTCCACAAGCAGCCAGTCACCTCCTTCAGACGCTGTAAAGACTTATAGTTTAATACTTTTGAACATGCCATGTGAATATTTATTTGTCTACTTGCTTGTTATTTACCAGCCCCACCCTTTTTTTTTAAAGCAATTTCTATACCCAA